ATGATTATCACTGTAGTGTTAGCTAATACCTCCATCACATCACATACTACTTCTTTTTTGTGGTGAGAACATTTAAGATCTACTCTCTTAACAATTTTCACATGTATAATACGGTACTCTTTAACTATAAGCACAACGCTTTGCGTTAAAACCTCAGAACTTATTCATCTTCTAACTGGTAATTCACTTTTGTTTATTAACCTTGTATTCTGAAACTTTGCTATAGCTGCTTGAACTTTTTTTTTAATTCTTTGGGATGTTTCTATATAGACAATCCTACATCTATGAATAAAGACAATTTTATTTATTCTTTTCCAGTGTTCATACTTTTATTTCCATTTCTTGTCTTATGGCACCAGCTATGACTTCTTATATAATGTTGCAGAGGAGTGATGACAGGAAAGATCCTTGTCTTGTTCCTGATCTTAGGGAGAAAGCGTCTAGTATGTTCTCTGTAGGTTTTTGTAGATGTTCTTCAGCCCGGAGAAGTTCTCCTATATTCCTAGTTTGGTGAATTTTCACCAGTACTAAGTGTTGGATTTTGTCAAATGATGTGTCTTCTGTGTCAATATGGTCATATGATTTTCCTTACTTAGTCTGTTGATATGGTGAATTACACTGATTGATTCTACAAATGTTGAACCAGCCTTGCATTCATGGAATAAATAACCACTTGGTCAAAGTGTATAATTCTTTTCATACATTGCCAAATTTGACTTGTTTATATTTTATGGAGGTTTTTGGTGTCTATGTTCATGAGAGACACAGGTCTGTAATTTTTGTTTTTAATCTAGTTTTGGCATTAGATTAATGCTGGCCTTGCTGAATGAGCTGAGTAACATTCCTCTAATTTTGTCTTTTGAAAGAGATTGTGGAGAACTGGTATCATATCTTCCTTAAATGTTTGGTAGAAATCGCTTGTAAAATTATTTGGGTCTGGTGATTTCTTTGGGGAAAGATTATTGATTATTAATTCAATTTATTTCTAGATATAGGGCTATTCATGTTATCTATGTCTTCTTGTGTATATTTAGATTGTTCTTAATTCTCCTGGAACTATAAAATATACTTGATAAGGGGTGCCTGGGTGGCTCAGTCAGTTAAGCGTCTGCCTTCAGCTCAGGTCATGATCCCAGGGTCCTGGGATCAAGTCCCGTGTCAGGCTCCCAGCTCAGCGGGGAGTCTGCCTCTTCCCTTCCCTCTGCCTCTGTGCTCTCCCTCCCTCTCTCTCTCTCCAAATAAATAAATGAAATCTTTAAAAAAATAAAATATACTTGATAAAATATAGAAATACCTACAGAGATTCACTCAAAACCAGATTTATAGATCTAGAGAATGGAATGAAGCAGGAAATGTTTTTTAGAAAAGAAACTTACAGTGGAAATGTGAAGTCATTTTGAAATTTTAATCAGACTGGGCGCCTGGGTGGCTCAGTTGGTTAAGCCACTGCCTTCGGCTCAGGTCATGATCCTGGAGTCCCGGGATCAAGTCCCGCATCAGGCTCCCTGCTCTGCAGGGAGTCTGCTTCTCCCTCTGACCCTCCCCCCTCTCATGTGCTCTCTCTCTTATTCTCTCTGTCTCAAATAAATAAATAAAATCTTTAAAAAAAATTTTAATCAGACTAATAAGAATGGGTTATCAGCTTTCCACATTTGTTAACTGCACCACATTTGTCCGTATTTGTACTATGTGTCTGTGTGCACCTCCATTTGCTACCCCAGGTAAGAAGTTTAAAAAAAACAAAACAAACTTTCTATTTTAAGATTTGTATGTTGACAATATGTTTTATTTTAAATATTTGCTAATGATCTTCATGGAAACTATTTACATGGTCATTTAAGATCGTTTTCCTTATAATAATTTGAGTTTTCCATGATCACATTCAATTTACATTTAACATTTATTTGAAATTGTTTCTCAGTGTTTTATGGGTATTCTCATTAGGAAACAGGTGTTCAAAGTACTGTGTTATTAGTAGTAGTATATCTTGCTTAAAGAGACAGCCGTTATAGTATAGTTTGCAATTTACTTTGGAGTAATAATGGGCTTTTGTGGACAATGATTCTATCTTGGATTTTATTTTTAAATGTTAGCATTTAAAAGGGTACGCGGTCATTCTGGTCTCAATTAGCATGGGAAATAATAAGGAAAATGTTTACCAAAAAAAAATAAGAGAAACTAACAGTCATGATTTCACACAATGACATATATATATAGGCACTTTTAGGCAATAATATTGTGATGCTGTAGGGGGACAAAAAATATGTCCTTTTTCATGATAATGTCCTTCACAGTAGCTCCTTTATTTTACATACTCAAATAGGTGATAATTATCAATATTTTTGAAACATTCTATCACATTCACAACACCATTGGACATTACCACCCCAGCATTCCAAAATGCTCAACACAGTGGCATTCTCTTTAGAATTGGCTGTTTGCCTTTCGGTTTGCTTATTAGACCATCTAAAATATGACATCTGGGGCTGTGTTTTTTATCCTACACAACACTTAGCCCCAGTGCCCCACCAGAAGTAGGCATTAAATAGAATTTTTGAGAGGATGAGTGAATCAAAAGATGAATGAATGGTCGCATCCACATGTCAGCTGGCGGGAATTGTCATGAGGTAAAACGGTATCTCATCGCAGTGGTAATTCCTATCACCTTTACCTTACATTTTCTGGTCAAGTGTGTTAGTTTACTACTGGCTTCTTCTTTCTCCCTCTACTAACTTTACATGGAGATCTCTTTGACCCTTATTTGGAGATTGATAACCTAACCAAGAGCAACTATCTCATCATATTCACAACATAGTCACAGGCTCTGCCCAACCTCTGTGGAAGCATTATATAAGTGTATATTATGGAGTGGGAATCTTGGGGGCCATCTCAAAATTCTGCCTACCACAGTGGTAAAAGTATTCCTACACTGATCCATTTCTCATTGTTATCTTACTGCTTCCAACTTCATGTGAGTGGAGTGTCCATCCCTTAATTATCTGGGCAAATATGGTTTTCCTTGGGGATATTCTGATTAACCCTTGACTTGTTTTATCTCTGATTACCTTCAGTCTCACTTCATTTACCTTTTCCCAGACTTTCTTGCAAGTCATCCACATTTCTCTTTCTTCTTTTTTTAAGGTCTCTTCCCTTTATAAAAGTTATCTGAACTCTCCGCTTACAAAGACTAACATTTTGTGTTTCTAACTCTTGATATGAAATTTTTACCTACTATCAGTGCTTGATTATAATTGCTCCTGCATCAAAACTGTCTGCAAAACCAAAGGTTTACACACCATTTTTATTGTCCTAAAGGAATAACTAGGCACCTATTTATTCCATAATTCTTTGTAAAGTTTGTTCATATTAATCGTGCACCTACTGTTTTACTGTATACCAGACAATGACTTAAGCACAATATTCCTGTTCAAAATATGAAATGAGAAGCACCGCGGAGGGTGGCAATTGTGTTATATTGTCCTTCAGTCTCAACATCATGTATGGCTTTTAGCTAAAACTTCAGCATACATGTAATTTTTCCTCTTTTCTGGAAGATAGGAATAATGTACACTTCCTTCATGTCTTGGACAAAATCAAACACCTGAGTATAGATACAAATTGTATTCCAACAATAAGACAATTTTTCTCTCCTTTTTACTTAGACATTGTATTAGTTTCCTCAGGTTGCCATAACAAAACCACAAACTGGATGACTTTTTATTTTTTCACAATCCCGGCAGCTACAGGTCTAAGATCAAGGGCCTGCAGGTTTGGTTTCCTCTGAACCCCTCTCCTTGGCTGCAGATAAACTTCTTCCTGTGTCTTCACATGATCTTCCCTCTGTGTGTATCTGTGTCCTAATCTCTTCTTATAAGGACACTCACTAGTCCTATTGGATCAGGGCCTACCCTAATGACCTCATTTAACAAAATTATCTCTTTCAAGTTCCTATCTCCAAATACAGTCACATTCTGGGTCCTGGCAGTGAGGACTTCAACATATGAAATGCGGGAAGGAGAACACACAATTCAGCCCATAAAACTCATGATGTGAACTAACCGCTTTGGGCACAGGCATCTAAGGAGAAGACCGAAACTCAGAATGCAGTATAAGAGAAGTAATTACTGAGATGAACAAAAGCTACTACGGTATCTCCATTTAAAGCTGTGCTCAGTGTTATTTCTAGAGGAACTTTCCAGAGCAGGAAGCAGTCAGTACATACTTGGGTAGTTTGTAATAGACCATTCAGAGAAACGTGTTGAATATTTTCTTGAGTTGAATGAAAAGGACACAAAAGAAACCATTTCCCAGCATTTTATTTGATTCCATAAGAATTTTGAGCATCAAACTATACTCTGCTATGTAGAAAGCCAGATCCAGTGGGAATCTTTTGGGTTTATACACGTATTATTGTCAGAACAAGGACAGTAACCCACCTGTTATACAATATTATCTTGACAGGCATTTTTAATGAATTGGGTCTTTCAGTTTATGTGCACCCATAAAACCTAATAGTTCAACTTCTTTATAACCATATTCACCACTTCTCATCTGAGGAAATAACATTTTATTATAAAATTACAATTTTTGTAATTTTGATCTCTAGTTTCTAAGATAAGAAAACAGACATATCATTTGGGGGCAGGAAGAGAAACAAAGTAACCTCGGCTTAAAACAGAAGAAACAACTTTTTGAAAACGTTCCTGGACATACTTTCACAGTACTTGGAAAACGTTTCTTTTTTGCTCATCTTCCAACTACAGAGTGAACCAAATTATTTAAGTTAAAAATAAAACAAGTGTTACTGGCTATTTGCCCTAAATTAAGAGACATCTTTCTACCCCAATGCAACAGCAAAACCAAAATCCCTAAATGAAAAGATGCTGTCTTCTCTCACCACCATGGTCCCTAATTAGGAATTTTATATATATATATATATTATATATATAATATATAATATATATATTTAGTAAGTAATATATATTATATATATATATATATATATATATTTAGTAAGTATACCTTGGTGACAGCCATGTTATCATACTCCTCTTAACTTCTCTCTCTTCCACACGTTGAATGACTTACTGATTTATTTCTCCACATATACAATACTTGGCTCCTATTTAGTGTGCAATAGATCTTTGTTATCAAATCTGCTCCCTCCTACTTCAGGTAACTTTGATGATTACTTAAACTGTACTTCCCTGACTAACTTCTCTTTCCTTTCCACTTTAGACTACCAGTGGGCAAATTTTAATGTTTTACAATTCAGGTTATAATTTTTACACTCAGCCTAATAGTTAAGAAATTTAAGAAAGGTAAATTGGGTCACTTGGTACTTTCTCATATAAGGAAAACAAACTGCTGGGGTGCCTCAGTGTTGCTTCTGGAGGAACTTTCCAGAGCATGAAGCAAGTCAGTACTAACTCTTAGAATGAATGATGTGAGTCTCTCCAGTCCTGTGATGTCAACCTGCTATCTTGCCAGGCTTGAAGAAGTTTGCATTAGGGTGAATAGGTACCATCTTTGTGGAGATGCCTGGTCAGGGCCTTGTTATGTCACACGTAAGGGCGATTTTAGTGTTAATTTGCACATCTCAAAAGAGTTTAGGCTTAGAGTTTCAAAGAAATGCACGAATCCTTCAAATCTCAGTTCTCATCTATGTTATGAAAGAAATATCACTCTTCTTTTAAAAGATCATAAAATTATCCCAAATCACCAGATCCAAATGCAGAACAACACAGTCCGTAGTTACCACGAGGAATAGGGTTAAAATTCGCTCTCCAGTGACAAATCCCAACCCGGAACAGATTTCAGCCAGGCAGTGAGCAGAGCGCGCCGGGTGAACTGCACAGGCCATGGTGGGTGCAGAGCTCAGAGCCGGAAAGCAAACAGCTGCTGTAGCCTGATTTGAGTTAAAATAGTGTGAGTGTTTAGTCTGGCGCACGGCTTCAGGGGAGATTGGCAGCTGGGTCAAACAAAGTCCTTCCATTGGCTCTCTTCCCAGGCAGCTTCTGCTAGTATTTAGGTACTAGTGCAGTGTAGGGCCCTTTTCTCAGGCAAAAGCTAACATCTGACCGCACCCTCTTTGCTTTTTCCAAAAAAAAAAAAAAAAAGAAGAAAAAGAAAAAGAAAAAAAAAAAAAACCTTCTTTCTTTCTCCTTCTTTCGTTAAGATAAATTCTCCAATAGACAACCTCTCCCACTAATTGTGTATTAGCAATGTATTTTATCTTGAGAGCTGACGCACTGGGCTCTCAACGTGGTGTGGAAAGCAGCCTGTTACAGTGCTGGATTCATAAAAGGGCCTTTATGGCTTGTGAAAGAATATCTGTGTGCTTAGGCAGGAAACTTTTTGATCTGCAGAAAAGCCAGAAGACATCTAGGTAAGGCTACATATCAAATCTACTTTTGGGGGGAAAAGTTGGGCGGTGAGAATGATTCCTCACCATCGACGTGACTTTGGAGTGTGCATGTTCACTTTTGTAGAAGTTTAAAAGGTACTGACTATTGTTTGCTTATTTTTTGTTTGTTTGTTTAAATCTTAAGGGAATACTGTGGTCTGCATTTTTACGATTTTGTTTTCTGCTATTGAACTGATTATAGTGGATATAGAGTTTTACTTTATAGCAAAATCTTTGTAAACTGCCACAGAAAGAAAGTGTATTTAGAAGGGAAATTGACAAGTTTTAAAGAGTAATTGTACAATCATTTGAGGACAGAGGAACGCTGCATTAGACTAACAAGGGTTTAATTACCAAAAAAAGTTTAATGTTGCTTTGGAAGGAATATTAAGTAAGTTGTCTTTGTCTCTTACTTTTTAATTTTAGTCGCTGATTTAGCCTGTTGGGTCACATTTTTTGTTAGCGCTGAAGGCTGCCATGAATCCCTAATGAGGCCCCTTTGCACATGATTTTGGCACTTGGCCAAAATCAACTTCCCAGCGGCAAGCTTTCTGTAAAGAACCTGGAGCAATTTTTTTTTTCTTTCTTTCTTTTTTTTTTTTTTTTTTTGATTAGAAATCATGTCTGAAACCTGCCACAACCAGTTGTGTAGACATGTCAAAATGACTTTATACAGTAAATATGAAACAAGCATATAAAAAATTTTCCCGATATTGTTGCTTTTTATCATTATGAATTCCTGCTGTGGCCACCTAAAATAGGTTAGAACAAGAACAACCTGAAAGAAAATTTACCGATTTTTTTTTTCTGTTTTTCTCAGCAGACCAGAGTAGGGGTGGTCATCTCATTGAGATGTATACAGTACGAAAGGGTTATTCAAAACACTTCAGGATAAATAACAGATGAATTCTTAAAACTGTTAATCTCTGTAAGTAATACTCAGTGAACAGTAAGTAATGAAGTTTTCTAGAAGTTTCGTTGTATGCACAATTAAGTTTCACATTTTTTAACTAGGAACACAATTTTTAACTATGGTGTTTGGGATTCTAAAAAATATTAACATTTATTATAATTTTAAAAATTTATTAACACCTTGATAGTATTTCTAACAAATGTTTTAAAGAAATGTTTGGTATATATACATGACTGGATAACTTTAGATAATTGTATTCAATTGCTTTTTGCAACTAAAAATGATTTTTCATGAAAGAACTTTTGAAGCTGAAAGGCACCTTACACTCAATATTTGGAACTGTTGATTTTGATTTTACTATAACTGAATTTGGTGATGTAAGCCGATACGTTATTTTTTGCTCCAGTATTTTAAGAGTTAAATTCTTAAGTTGCGATGAAATACTACAGTAATCAGATATTAACAACCTCAGATTTTATATAGCCATTTTCAGCAATACCTTTAGACATTAAAAATAGACACATTGCAGAGTATTTAAAAGCAGAAAAGTAGGAAGGATTTCGGTTGCTTTGTTTCATTTTAAGAAATCCTATTATCACTGTCCTAAATATTATTTTGCTTCATATGTTAGTCTAAAGTAATCTAGAGTGAAACTTTATTTTTTACTTTAAAATAATCATATTTCTCTTTAAAATATTAATGAGAAGATTTAGTCACCCTTTAAAGAAATATGATTTAGAGCTGTCTTATTAGGTATGTTTTTCATATATTTATCACTATGTTTATCTTTCCCTTATTATTACATGGTGTAAAATGTTGCTAATATGGGTCATAGAAAAAAAGTGAAAATTATCTTTAAGTAAATTTTAGTATTAGGAAATGTATCTTGATTTCCTTCAGATCAATTTATGTTTATAGATAATTTGTGTTTATATAAAAAATGTCTTGTATTGTTGTGGGCTGAATTATGATCCTGTATATACCTTACTACTAGTTGCTTTGAGGCAAAGAGTGTTTGAAATTATATCAGTCAACATTAAAATATAGAGATTATATGAATTGGGAAAAGGTAATACATATCTGCTATTTATAGAAATTTACCTGGATAAGTTCTATACTTCTATATGAGTTCACAGTGGAATTCTCATTTAATGCAAACTTTGATATTTTTTAAAAAGGAATTAATACATAACATTTCAAAATTTAGGTAAAAACAGAAACATGTTATCATTAACTATCATCAAACAGGTGCAAGAACAATAAGATCGCTTGTCTTATTCAGCATAATTCTGGCTTAAAAATTATTTTTGAATTCTATTTTTATTGTAATCTTAGCTCTCATACACATAACATTATTTTCTGTTTTCATTTTCTATTATTTGAAATTGGCAGAATATTTTACTTATTTGAAATTGGCAGAATATTTCTCTAAAATATACTAAAAATTTATCTACTGAAAACTTTAGGTTCTTTTGGGGGGGTTAATTAGAGGTGATAGCAAAGTAAATGCCGTAAAAAACAGAACTTTTAAAGTACACATATATGTTAGTGAGTTCAGAAAAAAACTTAATTGTACATGATTAACTGAAAAATATTTTTGAGTTGAGGTATAAAAAGTAAGTATAGAGAAGAATTTGTCATACTCTTTACGATAAATCCTAAGGTATTTACTTTCTTTTGCTATAGCTATGAATTGTAATTGAGCATTTCAGTGGTGTAGGCTTTTTGGCAGAATTATTAGCTAATTTTACTTGGGACCATAAATGCAAAATACTGATTACATTTCTTTTGGTGAGTTAACATTTTAAAAACAATATTCAGAATCCAAATTACTTTTAAAAATAAAAAATAGTTAAAACTTTTTGTTAAATCTATTCTATTTTAACAGCTTGAATTTGTTTCATTTGTCATTTTTTCCATCCCCTTGGGAATATTAAAATCTATTCCACGTTATAAGTAGAAACTTCTTCACTCTTCAGAAAAAGTGAAATTCGTTTGTATTTGTCAATTTAGATCATGCACCTCTACCATTTTAAATGTGACAGAGCTTTTGTTTGTTTCAACTATGCAACAGGCACATAAAATGCTTTCTGTCCCCTAATTAAAAGAGATATTACATAATTAAGTGTTAACTTTAATTTTGTATTGAAAAGAAGGCTTTACAACTGCAGTATTTTATCCACAGTTTTTAAAATGTGAAAAGTGTTTGCAAGAGGGCATTCTTGATGAGTGTTTCATCATTTAAATGAAATGCTTTGTTCTACATGATCTAAATTCCAGCGCTGAGATAAATGTATTGCTATACTAGATAGAGCAGCATTATTGAATTTTGACACAACGTCACTGACCTCTGCCATAAAAGATTAGTATACGTGAGGTGATCTTGGATTCGCAATAACAAAAGTAAATAAGTGAAGCATGTGAGACACCAACCTTTGTTGTTTTGGAGAAAGTATGTGCAAAGTAAAAGGAGATACTTTTCATGTAAACGGCCGAGGGGAATATTTTGTCATTTCGTTAATGCAATACATTTTGAACATCAAAAAATTAATTGCAATTTGTAATGCATTTGTAAGACTTTCTCCATAGAATTAAGTGCAGTGTTTTAACTATCATATTTCCAAATGCCCAACATGTAACTATAAATTAGGTAACCAAGTAATTTTTAAATGTTGTGCTTTGATTTAAATTTTAGTTAATAGTGAATAAGAGAATAATGTTCTCCAAGTTGAAGTCCTTTTCATATAAAAGAATGGTTGATTTACACTTGTTGCATTTTTCATTTAATACCGGTTTAATTTTTAAATTATCATAAAGTAAATATTGCTATGTGATATAGTTTTTAAACAGGGTAGGGCTTATTTTACCAGCAACCTGACCTATTATATATTTGAACAATGATGATTTATGCCTATCTGTCTATTCTTCTCTCAAAGTCAAGATCAGCAAAGGGATCTCTTCTTTGGTGCTCAAATTTTTTTCTAAAAAACCTGAATTTTCTCTTGTTTATGTGTTCAGGTATGTTTGTCGACCTGACTATCTTCCCATCTCCTAAGATATCTGTCTTGTGAGTATTAGGCTAGAAAGTTTAGTAGGAAGCTCTAAGTTTATTCTTATTCCACATTGCTCTAAATAAGCAAAAAGTTTGAGTTTCTTATGAAATCTAGTCTGTGTTTGACTTCAGTATAGACAATCACATCAAATCTGATGATTGGGATCATTTAAAGCACTGAATATCCGGCTTAAGTTAGTGGTCATTTACATGTTTGGGTGATGATTCTAAATACTTGATTATTACTGGCCTTACATAATTACTAATTTATAGAGAGTCTGGAATTCCATCATTTGCTTCAAAAACTAGTAATATTTCCTAATTTTATAATTGCCTACTCTTTGCTATTATTGAAATGTTGCATAATGTTTTTCTTTAAAAATACCATGAGGCTAAGTGGTGCCTTAACTTCTATTTCTCCCATTAACAGAAGAGGTCAACATGTGTTGGGGGGGAATGCTTAAAATATTTCAAAAAAATTTTTCCTCCTGTGTTTAGCAACTACTTCACTATTTGTGGAGATTTTGAAAGGAGTGATTGTATTTTTGAATGTTGATCGAAATGTGAGTGATGCACGGGCTTTCTGTGGACTTCAGTTAAAAAACTAAAAGAGAAAATGAGATTGAGATTAATGACATGGTGTATTTTTATAACAACTAATCACAACTTTCTATTCACACATAAACAACACGCTGGAAAGATAGACAGTGGGCTCTAAGAACAACCTTCATTGACTCTTCTTCACTTAGAAACAGCTGAGAAAGGGGCAGCAGAGGGATGGTTGTGGCCCCGTCTATATGATCTATGGCCCATGCGGTCATGTCCCAATTTAAATCCCCTAGTCTTCCTTCAGAGCTACACATCACTATTCTCAGACATTTTTTAGAGACAGGGGTTGCAGCCGAACACATTCATTCTTATTGTTCAGTGGAAGGTGTATGGTTGGGGTTTCTTTGGCAGAGGCAGTGTTCTGTGGATGGTGATTTTTTTTAAAAAATCAGCTCAATCAGATGACAAAATCAGCGTAATAACCAAGCTAAGTCAGCCTTAGCAAGCATAATTAGTTTTTCGTTCTTCCCTAAACCTGGACACTTTCCTGAAGAATGCAGGCAGTTGCGTGTGAAAGGTCCA